TTGGTGAGAGCTGTGTCAAATGCGAAAGAAATTTCTTGGTATCATCTGGGGAATGTGCGCCATGTGGGGATGTTGTGGAAGGTTGCGTGGAAAGTCTTTCAAATCAGTGCACTAAATGTGACGATTTGCATTATTTGAACTCCGACTTTATGTGTGCAAAATGTGATATCTCAAATTGTAAGAAATGTGATGCCATAGGATGTGTTGAGTGTTTGACAAATTACACACAAAGCGCAGACTATTCTGCGTGTATTCCATGTGATGATATTCCAAATTGCCAGAACTGTGACAACAAAATTCCAATGAAATGCATTTTGTGTTCCCAAAATGCATATTTTAAAACACCAAAAACTTGTGAAAAGTGCACTTCAATACCAAAGTGTGTGTTGTGTACGTTGTATGGGGAGTGCAGACAGTGCATTTATGGACACTATTTGGACAATGATGAGTGTCATAAATGCAACGAAATTGATGGATGTCTCGAATGTACAGCAACAAAGAAATCTTGCACAAAATGTAATGAGACGTTTTTCTTAGAAAATGGAAAATGTGTGAAGTGCAAAGACTCATTTGCAAATTCGGTGTTGTGTGACCAATTGCAATTGTTGACATGTGAAAAGGGGTATTTTATTAAAAAGAATCGCTGTGTTGGATGCAATTCCATATTTGGTTGTGTTGAATGTGATAATGGTATAAGTTGCACCAAATGTCAAGATGGACTCAATTTGTTTAATAATAGTGGGATAAATGAGTGTTCATTAAACTGTGGCATTTCACATTGCACTAAATGTTCTTCTTCATCATTGTGTAACAAGTGTGATGTGCCTTATGTGCCTGATGGTGGGAGATGTGTGTACTGTTGGGATAAGCATCCACATTGTGCAGAATGTGATTCACAGAGTGGACAGTGCACATTATGTGAACTTGGACAATATAATTTAGTGGATGGGAAGTGTGTTGAGAATGAAATCAAAAATGCGATTTTGACAAAAAGTGCACTCAATTGTTTAGAAGATGAAATTGAAAATGTCGAAGGTACTTCTTGTGTAAAAATCAAGATTTACGAATACAAGAAAAGTCCAACCGAAGCTGCGAATTGTTCCTCTGCTATTTATAGTTGTTACCAATGCAATTTCACGGCACTTGGAGATAATAAACGATTAGAGTGTTTGTTGTGTAAAACTGGCTATGGTTTTGAATCTTTGGAACACAAGAAATGTGTCAAAACAACCAATTTAGTTGACTCGAATGGATATATTATTCATTGTAAAGAAGGATGTTCAACATGTGCCAACTCTACGAATTGTTTGTACTCAAACACGTTTGCATTTACAACAAGGTTTAACAATGAGTATCTCTACAACAATCATGAATTTTGCCAGAAGTATTCGGTTGGGTTTGGGTGTGTCGAGTGCCTGAATTCGATTAATCAAAAAGGGATTTGTGATGTAAATGAAAGAAGCAAATATTGTTCATTCACTTTAGAGAAAAATGACACATTTGAATGTTTTGATTACAATGAAATTCTTAAACCGCAAAAATTATTGTTTAATACCTATAACACAATGTTTTTGAATGATATCATTTCTCCAATGCCAAAAAGTGAAGAAACTGATTGTGATGTATATACAATGGGCAGGTGTGTATCGTGTAAACCAAGCTATTACTTAACACAAGACTCTCCTCCAAAATGCCAACCATGTTCACCAAATTGTGAAAAATGCGATTCTACTGGCAAGTGTCTTACCTGTTACAATGGGTACTCTATGGAAAACGAAGAGTGTATTGAAATAGAACATTGTGCTAAAAAGACGGTTGGTGGGTGTTCGTTATGTTTAAGTGGATATTACCTGAAAGATGGGAAATGCCACCCACTCTCAGAGAGCAACTGTACTTCTTATACAATCACAAATACCACCGAATTGATATGTACAAGATGCAAAGAAGAGTATGTTTTATTGGACACAAAATGTGTTGAAAAATCAGAAGAATTTTGTAGCGAGGTTGATTCGTATACGTCGCAGTGTATTGTCTGTAATACCGAATACACACTGAACGAATATAAAAGGTGTGTTGCAATTGATAAAAACGAGTGTATTCACTCATCTCGGTATAATTGCTTGCAATGTAAGAATTCCATTTCGTTGGTCAAAGACGAGAACGGAGATGAACAATGTTCAATTTCCGAGTCGAGTAGGTATTGTCTTGAAAATGGAGAAACGGGTTGTACCAAGTGTTATGAAGGGTACTTTGTTGATGGCAAAAAGTGTTCTCTATGTGATCAAAAATGCAAACAGTGTTCTACAAGCGCGACAAGTTGTATCTCATGTAAGTTTGGGTATTACAACGACTCAAATGGTTATTGTGTCCCGGTTGGAGAACTTGCCAAAAAGTGCAAGACGTTCCTTCCAAGTGGTGAAAAGTGTGCAGTCTGTAAAGATGGCTTTGTTGTTAAAAATGCCGACTGTATCAAATGTGCAGACAAATGTATGACATGTGCAAATAGTTCTTCGCAATGCGTTCAATGCAACACCAATGGTGGGTATTATGAAGACGTTGAGTTCTCAACGGCTGATGAAAAGGTGTGTTCTGCGAGCACTACTCTCACTAATTGTATTACTCAAAGCGAAGTGGGATGTTTGCTTTGTCAAAATGGATATTACACGAATGAATACAACAAGTGCACAAAATGTGGAGACATGTGTGAACTGTGTGGAAGAGCAAACGTTTGTCAAAAATGTGTTGATAATTATGTATTACAAGTTAACACAGAACAGTGCATCTTGTGGTCTAACATAGAGAATTGTGCGTCATATAACTCTTCAACAAGAAAGTGTTCAAAGTGTTCTGGGAGTCATACAGTGAGCGAAAATGGAGATGAATGTATTCCAGTTACAAACATTGTTGCAGTTGTTCTTCCAATAGTTTTTGTTGTGATATTCATTGTTCTCGTCGTTGTTACTTTGGCACTCATTGGGTTTTATATCCGTAACAAGAAGCTTGAGAATAAGAGAAAAGAGTTGGTAAATGAAACTTTGATCTCAGACGCAAAGAGCCACAACATCACATTCTTCAGACTTGGTGATGAAGACTCTTCGGTGATTTCGTCTACAAGTAAACTGTATTATGAGTCTGAGATCCCAGTCAAAAAGCCGACATCTTTGGTCTTTTTGATTGGGAACGAAAAGAAGAGAAAATTGAAGTTCCAGTTTACAACAAGAGATTATGAAGGAAAGTACGAAGTCGACGTCAAACCACTATTAGTGACAATCAAAAAAGGACGAGCTGTTGAATTTACTGTTTCTGTCACTCCACGATGTACATGTGTGGCAGATTTCGATGTGATATTGACTGTTTTAGATATGCGAAAGGGGGAATCGACTGAAATCAAGATACCATGTTCCTTTGAGTCTGAAGCGTCAACTGCACTTGACCCAGACGAATTACACAAAGAAAATAAATTGGGTGAGGGTGGATTTGGTATAGTTTACAAAGGCACCTTTCGAACGAATGTTGTTGCCATCAAAGAAATGAAACAGATGAGTGAAGATAGCATGGAAGAGTTTGAGAAGGAAGTCGCAATGTTGGACAAATTTAGAAGTGAGTATGTCGTCCACTTCTATGGTGCTGTCTTCATCCCCAACAAGGTGTGTATGGTCACTGAATTTGCTAAATTTGGAAGCTTCCTTGACTTGATCAAAAAGAGAAGGAACGACCCAATTGACTTTAAAATGCGAGTGAAGATCACATTGGATTCTGCAAAAGGGTTGGAATATTTGCACAACAACGGTATATTACATAGAGATGTCAAACCAGATAACACTCTCGTTGTGTCCTTAAATAAAGAAGACGCCGTAAATGGTAAATTGACTGACTTTGGAGCGTCGAGGAACATCAACAGTCTATTGAGTAACATGACATTCACTAAAGGTATTGGAACACCAGTGTATATGGCGCCTGAAGTAATGAACCAAGAAAAGTACACATTTCCAGCCGATGTGTATTCATTTGCCATTGGAATGTTGGAGGGAATCAGTTGGAAAGACCCATATCCAATTGAAAAATACAAATTTCCGTGGAGCATTTCTCAGTGTGTGACAGAAGGAAAACGTCCAGAAATATTCATCGATAACGAAGAGATAAAGAATTTAATTGAACAATCGTGGAAACAAAACCCAGTCGATCGACTTGATATTAAAGAAATAGTCCAAGAGCTCCAAAAGATACACGACTCTTTGAATTAAATGATGTTATTATTCGGTTTAATAAAAATACAATAAATTTAAAATAACAAATTCAAAACAATTTTGTTGATTTAATGATGAAACTGCCACGTGTTACAGTTAAAAATAGAGTTAGTCTTTTAAAATTGTGTGGTGGTGAATTAAAACTTTATATTATGTAAACAACAAGCATCAAATAAAATATAAGAAAAACTTCAAACAACGTGATAAACTTAAGGATGGCTTTCCAAAATATCCGATTAATTAAATAGAAAAGATACCATATATATTTAAAAACTGACTGAATAAATTTATTTAAGAAGAAAATAAAAATGGCGAATAAATAAACTTAAAAATTATTGATTTGTAACTAGCATAAGGTATAAATTCTATTAAACCACAACAATAATCATAAAAATATTTTATCTGTTCACATATTTTCAAATTATAAATACAAAACCTCTATTTAAAAAACAATATAACAGTAGATTATATTATTTTAAGTGTTCTAATAAATAAAAACTGTTTATTTTTTGTGTTATTACATATACAATTAATCATACTATCAAAGAATTAAATAAACAATAAATATTATTTGGTCCCATTGTTATATATAATGTCAAAACCAAAAATATGTTTTAAAATGAATTTAATTGTTTTTTTAAAATTTAACATTACACTTACTTTCATTTGTTGTGACATTTTAAATTTAATTCATTGTTAAAAAATATTACACAAATGATATATTTATAAAAAACAATAATACAAAACAATCATTTACAACAATAATAATGCTAAAATAGACAAAATCACAATGATCCTTTCGACGCTCTTATCTTCCTCACCATAATCAAGCAAATCATAAGACACTTCTGTTAAATTTAATATCATAGCATCTGCTTCCGCATCATTATATATTCGATTATCACTTTGGTCGTACACTTTCATGCACATTCCCGAGTTTGTATCCATTTTTATTCCATCTTTACACTTCTCACATTTCAAAGTATTTTCGTTACACTTTTCGCATTGATTGTCAAATTTACAATTTGATCCAAATAGAAGTGAATTTGCAGTGATTTTCTTCATAGTTTTGAATTTGCCGATCGCGCAAATATTTCTAGTTGATATTCTGATATACCCATTCTCGCCCCAATCACTTCCCCAACTGTTTCGTGCTATAAAGTACTCCTCTCCATTTTCCACGCCATATCCAACTAACACGATAACGTGATTGACTTTATTTGACACGCAATTGTCGTCGTATGTCATTCTAAATATTCCTTTCTTGTACTTTTTGAATCGATTATCTGTGTACAACGACACCACGAACGGCCCATAATGGTGTAAAACCTTCTTAAGTAATTTGACTCTCTCAAAGTTCGTTGTATTAAAGTCGAAACTTCTGAATTTTTCTGTTCGAAAGATGTACTCTGCTTGATGACTTTCAACGCCACTGGCTTGACAAGTACTGTTGTCACTTTGATAGGAGTAGTCAGTGTATGGGTACTCTTTAACTTCGACAAAATATCGTGTGGCTTCGACTGCATTACCAAGAAACCCTCCACAGCACTTGTACGTCACCATTGCGCTGTCCCAGACTCTTGTGGAGTCTGTCAAATCCAGAAATCTTTGGACGGAGAGGTTATACCTTTGAATACGAGAGAGTGTCTTGTTGCTGCTATAGTACGTCAAATTGGCAAGCAATATCTGAGCCAAATTCACACCCGCAGAAGCATAACAACACCCACAACCACGCTGGTCAAAGGTCTCCCCACACAAGTCGATTTTTGGTCTTTCTGTGTTGTAGTTAACATACGACCCACAGTATGAGTGATTCCGAGGAAGTCTGTCACCTTCTGGGACTTCGATGTCGTGATAATGAGAATAATCGACTGGGGTGTCTGATGGCTTTCTTGTGACTCTTTTGGTGTTTGTATTGATATCTCCTTTGTTGTTAGCATCGCCAATTTCTGGTTCGATATTTTCTGGTAACGGCAATTCAGACGCAAGCATATCGGAATATCTATTTATGGAATATTGGGCTAATTTGTCTTTAAAATTCAAGAAGTCAATTTCTCTCAAATTCGAAAGGAAAATGTTGTACCGATATAATCGTTCTGATGGAGTTTGATAGACTTTAGAATACTTCTGTGTAAACAAATTGAATTGATCAGAAGGAGATGCAGCAAACGTAAGTTGAATGATGTTAATAATCAGAATATAACTCATCGATTGCATTTGATTGTTCAAGTGTGGTAATGAGTTGTTTAAATCAATTTTAATGACAAAAAATAAAATGGAAAAAGACTCAACCCGAGTTTTGTTTTTATGATTTTTTTATGATATTTATTTGCCCATCAATGTCCAAATAAATATAAAATAGGTGTATTGAAAAAGTTGTTATTGTTTATTTAATTCTATCGAATATATAGTTTGTAATTATTAATTTGTTAATACACATGTATCGTTCGTAATTTTGTGTATAACATAACATTTTTCTCTGAAGCAATAATATAGAATTATATGTATTTTGTGTTCGGTCATTTATGTGTTTTTTCATTACATTTTTGTGATTAATCTATTTTATTATTCATTTTAATTAAAATTATAAATAAACACACAAAGTGTAATTTTGTTCTTATTTTTGTTTGAAATTGAAGTGTGTATATTTGTGAATTATTAAATTCAAATTTATTGATTTTTAGAATATATGGCTCGTAGTTGTTGAAATATAAATAATATAGTATTTTAATTAATATATCAAATTTCACAAAGTGATACACAATAAAACTACGAGTACTTACCTAACAACTATAATTTTGTGGCATTAAAAGATAGTTTTGATTTTTTATGTTTTGGTTTGAATAAATGGAAAACAATTTATTTACAATTATTAAAGTATGAAAAAGTCAAATTGTTTATATAATTTTAAATAAAATAAATAAAAGATTTGTTGTTGAATTATTTTTATAATTTAATATTTTAAAAAAATAAGAAGTTTTAATTTGGTATTGATATCTTTATTAATAATCAACATAGTAACAATATTATTTTCAAAAAATAAACATAAGTACTGTCGATTTAAAAATAATCACCGCATTGATTTATTTAATACTTTGAGACATAATTCTCGTAATCACATTTTATAATACAAAAAATCTTCTTTAAAAGTACCCATCCAAGTTTTTACTGTTCAGTCTTGAGGGTTTTAAAAAAAGTGTGGTTTTTTTGAAAATAATAATAATTTATCTAATAATATACCGATTATTATCATTAAATATGAAATATGATATTTTTATTGTTTTTTACTTTTAGAAATTACTAAATATAATTTTCAAACCTAATCAATTGTGCAGTTATTGTTGTTTTTAAATCAAAAATATTATAATGACAAATTAATAATTTTAGAATTCATAAACATTAATGCTACTCTTAAAATTCAATTAAGTTGATATATTCAAAAACACTATTATAAAGGTAATCATTTAAATTTAATTACATCAATAATATTTAATTTATAACCAGAGTTATATTAATAAATAAATATTAAACCATTTCATTCCAATAAAATAACTATTTTATACAAATAATATTGTTAAACCGATTTAATTTTATCAACAACAATCAAATAATATATTTTTTTGAATTAAAAAAGTTTAAACTTGATTAATTAAAAGATATTAATACAAATTTAAAAATAAATAACTCTCTTTTTTATTTTATTTATATATTATGTTTAAATAATATTTACAGTTAACTAAAACTAATTGGTTTATGTTGTTTTGTTAACTACAATTAATAGTTCAAAAATGATATTTTAAATTAAAATGATTGAATGATGTTTAATGTGACTAATAATTGAATTTGAACTATATTTTGCATGAATTTATCTGACCTAGAATATGCATGTTGTAAAAAAATTAAAATGTTTCCAACGGAGTTCTATACATTAGAAAAAAACTTTACAGTCAATGCTTATGTGACTCGAACAAGTGTTAACGCTAGAATACTCATATCAAATGTTTGTTTACTGGAAATTAAATATAATTTTGATTTGCTCAATATTGAATATAAACGTATTAGTTCAATACAATATGAAGATTCTATATTCATCGAGCAAAATGGTCTTATTAAACCAAACTACCCACAAATTAAGCGAGTCGAAAATTATACAGATTGGATTGAAAAACTTATTGAAATGATCAAAAACACACCAAGAAATTACAAAACCCAACTTAAAACTTTTCGAGAGAACTTAAAAATAACAAAAGATTACAAAAATGAAAATTCTAAAAAGTCGGTGGGAGTTCTTGAAGATATTTTACAACCCGAAGCTCAACAAATTTGGGACAGAAAACACAAAGAATGGCTTTTGAACAATTTTGTTGAAATCGAGCAAATGACAAAGAAAATGCTTGATGACAAAAAGATGACCAAGGAAGAATTTGATCATTTCAATGAAGTCATTTCGCAAAATAAAAAAATGATGATAACTATATAGTTATTGTTTTATTAAATGTGTTAAAAGTGATAAAGAATATTTATAATATTATATATATTATAAATAGTTATAATATTTTACAATTCAATAATATATTATGATAGTATTATATATATTAATCATATTTATTATATAATTATATTATTGAAAAAATTTTTATATTTATAATTGATAATATTATATGTTTATAAATAACTATTTATTATTAAATACAATGCTAGATTTGTAATTTAATAATTTTTATATAATTATTTAGTTAATAAAAATTATACTGACAAATCAAATTTTTTAATATATTATATTAAATGTTGTTATTTTGATATTTAAAATTATAATTATAATTGTTATACTATAAATTTGTAACAATTGTTTTGTTTTTATTCATTTTTAAAATAAGTAATTAGTTTTGAAATAACTAAAATAATATAAAATTTTGTAATTACAAACTTGTTTAATTATGATAATTTACTAATATTTCGGAATAATAACAAATAATTAAAGTTATATTATAAATTATTTAATATTAATAAATAGAACATAAAACCCCATAATTTGTCATATTGAACAAATAAGTTTATTTGAAGATATCAAATTGAAAGGTTACTCAGATTGCCACCGAGATGTATTAGATATAAATCGGCCAAATTAAATGTTTGGATGAGTAGAGTAAAGTTGACATTTATGGATAGGAAAACGGAATGAGGCGGATTAGATTTGACCTGCGCCGAGATGTCAAAATAATTTTATTTTATATATCAATAATATATAAATTCTTTCCAATTTGGATTTCAATTGTATTAATTAGAGGAAAATACCAATCAGAGGATATTTTCAATAATTATTTACATGTTTTTTAATTAATTGCAATGCTTTGACAAATCATTTTATAGAAATCCATACATGTTGATTTGATTTTGAGTCTGACAATAACTTATAATTTTGTGAATTTTAATAATTGATGACATCAAACAACTTTGTACTTAAAAAAATAGTTTGACAATTGAAGTTTGACTTATTTTTGATAATAAATTTATTACCTTATGTCAATAACTATTTTTAAATTTATATTATTAATAAATGTAATTATTATAGATTTTAATAGTGATTTTGTGTGTTAGAAGTTGTTATTTGGTTTCATAACAAAAAACGTGTTTGAATAAATTGAACAATAAACTGTGTTCAATTGGTTAAAATGACTGAGACACATCCAAATGAATGTGATTATATGAGACAGTGTAAACTTTATGACACTTCAGCTCCTTATTTACTTGAGGATATGTATTCGTGTAACAAAAAGACAATGACCTTCAATTCCACTATCGACTCAGAACGTCGTGTTGAAATATTGAAAACAATTTTGAAACAATGTGGAGAGAATGTCACATTTATTCCACCATTTTATTGCGACTATGGTAAATACATTGAAATTGGAGATTACACAACTGCAGGTCCAAATTTCACAATTCTCGATGGAAATATAGTCACAATTGGTAAACATGTGATAATCGAATCAAATGTCACAATTATGGCGACTTCCCACCCAACAGATCCAATGATTAGAAAAGCTTATTATCTTTATTCGTTACCAATTGTTGTTAATGACAATGTTCTTATAGAATCTAATTCGGTCATTTTGCCAGGTATTGTTATCGGAAAAAACTCAGTAATAAAGGCAGGTAGTGTTGTGACAAAAAATGTACCAGAAAATACAATCGTTGAAGGAAATCCAGCAATAGAAGTTGGTAAAATACGAATTGAATAATTTGTGTTGTTTTATTTTATTTGTTATTTACAAACAATTTGAAAATAATAATTATATCAACAATAAAATTCAATTAAAAGTAGTTGCGTCAATTTATATATTATGTATTAAATACAATACTATTACATATTAATTTATTTATAATAAAAAATAAAATATTAAAACCCATAATTTTTATATTTCAAACTTATTCGTTATATTAGTTAAAATTAAAAACCTAATAGATGTACATAAAATGTTTGAGAAATGTCTTCTTTAATATTTCTATATTTTGTGCACCTAGAAAGTGAATACTGTATCTCCCCATCTCTCAGAGAGGTGGGGTCGGAGTTATCCAATATTTTGTTTTAATTAATATGTTCGAACAATAAGATATATTCACATATTATAAAATGTAATAAATGATAAATTCAATGGTTTATAAAATATCACACTTATGTAGTGTTTGTCATAAAAGGTCGAACCAAAAGCTAATGTTGTTATTTTTATTGATATATACCCAAATGATGATATAAAAAACAAGATTGTGTATAGAAACCATAAAAATTGGGGCATTATAATAAAACAATGATTATATTATGAATAACATCAGGTATTTTATCTGACTTATTTTTACCAAAAACAGAGAATAACGTTTTTTGATAAACTCGAAATAAAAAAATATAAATTTGATAAAAACAAAATTATCAGACACTTGAATTAAGTTTTATATTTAATAAATTTAAACACAATTTAATTTTATTAATTTATATATATATATATAATAAAAGAAGATGTTCTTGTAATATTTTTTTATTATCAATATTTAATAGTTATACAACCAATTATCCAAACATACAAAGTGAATTGTCAATATTCAACTAAATAAAAAAATCTCAAATATATTTAAATAAGCATCATTTTGATTATATTTTAAAATATAATTAATATTCAACAATATGTTTTAATTTATATAACTTTGTTATGAAAAAATTAACAATACCATCCTCATTTTAATTACGATTACTTCAAGATTTAATGTAATTTAAAATTTAGAACCATTGAAAAAAACATGTAAAACCCAATCACATTAATGAATACACTGCAAATCGGTCGACAGGGATTCTTTCCTTCGCTTCATTCCCAAAGATCGACAGATCTTCCTCGTTATACTGATACGCGTTTTTGATGCATTGGACGACCATTTCATTTCCCGGGCGTTTTCTCCAGACCTTCAAATCTCCTTCACCAGCCTCGAAGAACTTGAACCCGTGGAATCTCCCCAACAAAAACGCATTTTCCTTCAAGTCGACCTCGAACATTCTTGGCTCGTGTTTCCCGTGTTTATTTAACATGAAGAGGAACGCTTCTTTGTCTTCGCAGTACTCATTTGTTTTGTTGATGTCTGCGAAGACTGCGACTCCAAAGAGTGAACTTTCCGCCTTCACGAAGATGACAAATCCGTTCGTCAGTTGAATGGAGTCGATGAATTTATGTGAGACAATAGACGACGCGTATTTCGGGTAGTCGTACAGACACTCGTACACCTTCAGACCGGTCAGAGCAGTGAATTGAGTTTTGTCTTCTTCGGCGAGTAACTCGACAAATCGGTCTTCCAATAATTCGACTTGTTCAACTTTTTTCTTCAATTTCGACTTTTTCGACTTTCCAAAATTTCGACTCGACTTTTTCAATTTCGACTTTTTCAATTTCGAAGACGCCGAAACCGTCTCGGAGTCGTCGGATTGGGCGTTTGGATTGTCATCAGTCGACGACGTTGAAACATTTGACGAAACCGTTTGTGTGTTATTTGAAGTCTTTTCATCGCGTTCAATTCTTCTTTTTCGTCTCATTTTGTCTTTTTCTTTGAATTGGGACGACAACTCATCGCCTGTGACTTCAATATCGGAGCTGTCAGATACCTCTTCGACGACAACGGGAGCTTTTGAACTATTTGACTTTCGTTGTGATTCTTTGGGTTTCAAAATTGCGACTTTGTCGATTTTAGACTTTGTCGATTTTGGCAATTTAGAACGGGTGAGTTTGTTGATGACATCCGACTTTGTTGGTTGAGGTGAGACGATTGGAATTTCGACTTTTTCAATTTTCGATTTTGTCGAATTTGAACGCGTCAGTCGGTTGACTAAATTTGACTTTGTTGGTTGAGTTGAGATTGTCGAATTTTCGAGTTTTTCAATTTGTGTGTCGTCGTTTGGGATCTCGAGAGTTTCTTCGTCGTCGCAATTATCGACTTTTTCAATTTTCGATGAATTCGAGACGATTGGGAAGATCGAGGACTTTTTTAAAGCTTTGATTTGAAATTCTTTGTCTTCGAATTTGTCGCGTAGGCGAGCTTTTCGCGTTGTGTTCTTTTTGGATTCTTCTTCACAGCGCTGGCGTTCTTTTTCGATGATCAGATCTAAAGTCGTGTTTCTGAAATTCAAAATCTCTTTGCCGTCATCTTCACATTTCCTTTTTAAAAGAATTAATAGACTTTTGAAGTCATCTAAAGCCGCTATGGCTTGATTAATCGCTCGAGAAAATTTCACACAATTTGTTTCTGAAATTTCTTCGGTTTTTATTAGTTCGTAAAACTGTGAAATAAGTTCATCAGTGGTTTTTGTAGTTTCGATGTGTTGTTGTTGAGTTGGGAATACAAGTTTCGGTGTTTTGGTGTGGACGTCTAAAGCAGAGACTAAAGACTCGAATATATTTGTGAAATCGGCAACATCCGATTTGAGAAGAACATATGGATCGATACTCATTATCTATTTGTTAATTTAAGAAATCTGGAACAAGAAAAATAGCATTCAAATCACCTTCAAAGTATTGAAAAGATAAAAACAAGTAGGTTCTATTCTTTTAATATATTTATATATATATTTATTATACAAATAGGAGTTCAATTTTTATTAATAATTATTAGTTTAATTATGGTTTGATTTTAATTAATTACAATAATATATTTATATAACTATTTATTTATTAATAATTATTATTTCTATTGAATTAATTTGAAACTATTAAAATAGTAAAAACAATAATTAATACAATTAATATATAATTACAATAATAAATTAACTATAATATATAGTATTATAAAAAAGTTTAAAATTATTTAAAAATTTTGTTTTTTAATTAAAAATTTTATAAAAATATTTTTAATACAAATAAACAAATTAAAACACCAAAAACTTAAATGCAAATAATTTTGAATTAAAAAAATTAATTCAATTTAAAGACAAGCACTCTTTTGGTATTAAAATATTTGTCATCCATTAAATCGCCAAGTTGTGCTATGTACGTTCCAGGGATACATCTACTACTCTTTTCTCCTTTTTTAGAGACTTCAAAGTCACACCCTCCACCAAATCCAAACAAGAATTCGTGTTGTTGTCGATGCAAAACAAAAGCCCCTTCTTCAGGTATATCTCTATCTTCAAAATCGAATCCTCTACTTTGTCTTATAACAAACTTTTTTGGTTTTAAAATACCTTTTCGAATAAGACTAAAAATAAAAGCAGAGGAACTTCTCGTCCACCCATTTCCGTCGATCACTGTGTCGTACATAACTCCTCCAAATTTATTGTTTCTGTCATCTTCTACGAGGAAACAGAGCATGTTGTTTCTGTAAATTTTGTCGTGGAAAATGGACGAGTTTTTACTCCAGTCTTCCTTATCACTATCAAATAAAACTGAACTTATTTTGCGTGTTGTAAACTCTTCGAGTACAGCAATTTCCTCATCATTTATTGGAAACATTGTGTTTGGCTTATTAGTAACAAACAAATCTGAAAGGGATGTTTTTCGTGAAGACAAATAAGCACTGATTTCCTTCATCTTTTGGTCGTACTGAATTCCATTGATCCGTTGTGACATTAACATTTGCTGAAGGTTTCTAACACTTTCGTTGTATTCCTCGTCGTACAATTTGTTGAGTAAATAGACCACAGTAGTATATTTGGGGTCTTTGTCATTAAATGTTGAGGCGTCAAGAAGTCTATTAAATCGATTGAGACTGTTTTTAACTTGTTGAATTTGTGCTGCAAACAACCCCATATATGAAGACGATTTTATGTAGTTTTCTGCGGCAGCTATTCTTTGATTTCGTGGAAGGGTTGTGTTGTCTACATAATATTCATAAGAGGGTTTCCATTGTGTAGATAGCGAGGCTTTAAAAGCTGTAAGTTGTGTAATTAATGAGTCAAGTTCAACGTCCATCGATTATAGAGATTGAGGCTATCTTTAAATACAATAAAACACATAAATGTGATGAATTGCTTGACTTATTCATTAGTAAATAAGAAGGTGTATTTATAGAACTAATGTTTTTGTTCTTGTATTATTAGTAATTTCGAATATTATATTTTTAATAAAGTAATTTAATATAAGAATAAAAAAAATTTTTAGAACATAATTTGTGTGCATTTGAGAGTTTTTTATGATATGATACAGACAAAAACTTTTATTGTATTTTTTACTTTAATCGTTAAGGTTTTAATTAATATACAGTCAAAGGCGTCTATTTGTCGTAATTGTAATTGTCGAACTTGCTTAATTGTCGCACAACTGGCCAATCATTTTGGTGTACGACAATTCAATATTTTATTCCCAAACCTGTAACTTTAAATGAATTGAAAATAAAATTTTTTATAAAAAATAAATTTCAATATTAAAAAGAATTTTCTACAAAATTCACTCATTTACAACAAATAAATACGTTTTTCTGCTGGATTCACGACAAATAAACGCCTTTGACTGTATATATAAAATTTTTATAATTTAACAATTAGTTTTAAAAAAATGAATGTATTTAATTAATATCTTTTAATTTAATGAATATACATACAATTAATTATATTGCACACGTTGATTACTGAATTTATCATTTATCATAATTATATTGTTGATATTTAATTATTTTAAATAATGGTATATCATGAATTATCAATTGTTGAATACAGTAAAAATTCTGTCGGTGTGTGGAGTCATGAAAATGGTTTTCCCAAGGTGTGTAATTTTTTTTTCTTTTCTTTTTTAATTTCTGGCAAAAAAACTAAAAAATAATGAAATTTGCAAAACAATTCACAATCAAGAAAAATGACAAAATATATTTTTCGTTTTTTTGATAAAAAACGCGACACGTGTAAACATAAAATAATATTGTGAATTTTTAAATCGTTTAATTGTTTAGAAAAAGAACAACGCATCATGTTTTTGTATAAACACATGGACTTTTGGTGCGGATTGGTTTTTGTCAATTTACAACTCAAGTACGTCTTTGACATCAGCCTCGATTGCTGCATTGTCTTTTGTTATAACCTTGAAAAAATTTGCTTGTTCACTGTGTTATTACACGGTAGCAAGTTAGTGTCGATTTTTAGCCTCAAAAGTCATCATCTTGTCGTCCTTTGCCTTGAACTCTTTTGCGTCTGCAACCATCTTGTCCACCTGTTCCTTTGAGAGTCTTCTTTCCTGTTGTCTCGTTTTCAGCCGACACATTCAGAATCCCATTTGCATTTGTGTCGAATGCGATTTCAACTGTGAGACTCCACATGGTGCTAATAAGATACCAAACAACCCAAACTTTCCAAGCAGGTTGCAATGTGATGTCATAGATGCCTCGCCCTCAAAGACTTGGATGAGCACGCCATGCTGGTTGTCTGCATGTGTCGAAAATATCTGTGACTTCCTTGCTGAAATTGTTAAGTTTTTGTGGTATCAATTCTGTCATCACACCAATCACAAGCGTGCTCTTGTGATTGGTGTGAAAGTCGGTGCATTTTTTATTATCATTTAAAGTTTAATATTTTGAGAGGAGCATTTTCTGCTTTTCTTTTCTTATCTTTTTTGAATTTATTTTTGTTTGATAATTTTTCTCTTTTTAAGTTTTTATTACCAAGTCTTTACTCTTTTAAAATAAAAACAAATTTGCAATTGACATTATTTTTGCGGGTTTTTGTGCCAAATATGTGGGAAATCGTTATATTTCATCGGTGTGTAGGTCACTTTTGATTGGTCAAAACCACACACCGATAGAGTCACACACGGTTGGAATCACACACCGATAGAATTTCTACTGTAATAAATTGGAAAAAGGTATATATTAAAAGTTATTAAATGTTAAATTAAAAACTGCTTATGTTGAAGTGGTTTGGTATTTTTTTGTTAAAAACGTTTAATACCAAACAAATGAGCTTACTCGAAATATAGATTTATTGTCAAGGTTTAAAAATATAAAAGCTATTTAAACGTAAAACTTTGTCAATTTAAATAATTTAATCAATAACAATGTATTTGATATTTTTTTAATTACCTGGGTTCATTTAAATAACTCAAATCAATTTTATTACGATTTCTTTTGAATAAATCTTTTTAAAGTATCAGTATGAAGTTGGCAAATTAAAAAAAAATGAAATTGCAAAAGCGTTTTGCTATTATTTTTTTGGTTTACTTTGAAAATTACATTTCAGTTAAAATAACAAAAACTTAATTATAAAAAAAACAATAAAACTTTTCATAAAACAATAATTATTGTTTTGATGAAACTAACAAATATATGTTTTGTATGTATGTAGCAAGTTTACAGTTTTATAGTATAATAATATTTTTATTTACTATTTAATTGTAATATTTAAAAGGAAAAACATATAATTAAAAATTACTTGTTTGATGAAAACTATAAAAAACACTGACAATTAACATTTGAATTAAAAATAATCTTTTAATAATTTTCTTACAATTACAATTTGTAGGGGATGATTTCAATTTAAAAATTTATAACATATGAAAAAACGGCAAATGTCTTTTGTATTTTTTGTGGGGAATTATCAAAAAAATAAAAGCGTACAACATTTTTAAAATATTTTTATTTTTATTTTTAATAATAAAACAATTTCAATTTTATTATTTTATTTTGAATTTTGAATTATTATTAAAAACCCATTAAATATTGATAAGTATTTTGTTTCCAATTTGATTAAAAAATGACAACGCGTAAAACTATTGGGGGTTAATAACTTCCATTTTTTAATGGAAAGTATTTTTTAAATACTTTCCGTTCTAAATACAAGTTCTTAAATTTATCTCAATTTACTTTAAACAAAAGTTAATAATATAAAATAATATATTATTTAATTTATTATAAAAAAATTCAGAAACTTTTTCAAGTTACATTTAAATAATTTTTAAATAAAAAATTGGAGGAAGTTATACTATTTCTGTATTTTGGATACCGAAAAATGAATTGGATTATCAAGTAATTATTATATAATTATTAGTTCAAAAAACATTTCAAATTTGATACAAAAGTCACTAAAATTTTGTGTTTTTAAAATTAAGGAAATCTATTTTTTGAAATGTGTTTTTATTAAAAAAAATACGATACAGTTTAATCCAACACTTTCGTTGTCAAACATAGATTAACCGTTTATTGTTGTATTTACACCATTTAAATAAGATGTTTTCAAAAAATTAACGCTTAAATAATGAAAATAAGTTTAATAAATAAACAATCACAGTTTTTATACCACCATAAATAAAATTTTCACGAACTAAACTTAAATCGTCGAAGTTTTAACAAGTAAAACAATTTTTTTTAAAAAAGTTAAATACTCTAAAAACGTTTTTTATCTATAAAAATACCTAATATAGTCTCGAAGTCTATGAAAAATAGAACCTAAACCCAGTAGGCACTTATCTTAACGTTTTTTTCTTTGTTTTGGAATTATTAAAATCAATTGAAGTCTATGTTTTATCTTCATTTAAACCCACCAACTTATTTATTATTCAAAACATGTTAAACAACCACTTATTGACCTTGATTATCGTATTAATAGCTAGAACAACCAATTCTACTCAATTGTCGTGTTCTCCAGGATGTTCTTCTTCATGTCTTGCTAATTACACATGTAAAACTTCTTGTGAAGAATCATATGATAATGATAACACATGTGCTCATTGTAGTGCAACTGACTTGAACGATGATTCTAGTCCTGTTTATATAATAGACGAGGACATGAATTGCCACAAATTTGGTAGAAAAGTAGCTATGAATCCGTTATCCACATGGCTTCCGACAGATGAATTTTTTGATATACTTCATTTGAATGAGACAACTACATACACTATAAAAGATACAGGACTTGTTGATTATTCATTTTGTTATTACAGACAAAAATATCGAATGGGTAAATGGTTTAAATTTGACTCAAATGAGATGACTAAAGACCATTTTCGAATTAGAATAAAAAAGACAGACAATACAGAAGTTCCAGTTGATCTCTATGTTGATGGTTCCAATTCTCCATATTACTCTTTTACTCCTTATTGTTACGTTCACTTCTTTTTGAATAAATCAGTCACGGAGAACATGGGAATGTTTCCAGTTAGAAAGAATAACGGACTGGATGCAAAGGATAAACAGATTTATTATTTCTTTGCACATATCACCGGGTTTACAAAGAAATTTACATTTTCTCTTTTGATTGAAGAGATAGACGGACTTCAAATGGAACCCAATTTTGCAATTACTCAAGAACATTTCAATGAACTATCTATTGATTTGACCAAGAAGAAAAAGATTGAAATTCCTTTTGAACAAATTGGGTTTTTCACCAATTCAGCTTGTATGCAAAATGTTTTTATGAAAGCAGTTTTGTTCACCTTACAATACGAAGGAAGGGGTTCAGTTTTTATTGATACAAGGGATGACAATCGTATTGTTTACATGAACGAATTAGAACTTGAATATGACGAAAATGGCGAATTCTCAAAGCGGTCTTGTGTTAGACTTATTTCTGGCAAGAAATTGACTTCAATTGAACAAAGAGAAAAGGAGGGGGAAGTAGGTCAACCAAATGGAGTATATATTAAAGTTCAGGGTGATGGTAAAAAGAGATATTTTTCATTCCTTTCTGAAGATTACAGAGCAGAAATAACAATGACGTTATCGATAATATGTCCAAATGATTGCAATGAGGAGAGTGGTTTTGGGAGGTGTGATCTAACTGAGGGAAAATGTGTTTGTAAGGAAGGTTATGGAGGTGATGACTGTCATTTGTTGTGTTATTATCAAAACAAGTGGCAAATCACAGATAATGCCAATTTATGTTACTTTGGCTCAAGAGACTGTGACCAATATTGCAACTGTAATAATGGCAAAACATCTTCTAATCATCTGTGTGTGACTTCTGAATGTGCAAAAGGTAAACTCGGAAATGGGGATGAATGTATAAGAAACAGTGAAGGTTGCGATAGTGGTTGTACCTGTCAAAAGTCTCTGAATTACACATCTAATTCTGGAATCTGTGTAAGTAATCTTTGTGGTAATAATAATATTGATGATTACTATAATACAAATGGTAAATTTATCAGAAAAGAAGAGTGTGATGGTGGTGTAAATTGCAATATCACGTGTCAATGTCCTGAAGGTTATGAGACAAATCCAGATGATGAATTGAGTTGTAGAAAGAAAGTTTTGGGCAGTGGGGCTATAATTGGGATTGTCTTAGGTTCCACGGTCGCATTTGTTGTTATTTTGGGTGTACTTTTGTTTGTTGTTATCTTCTTATTAAAGTACAAGAAAATCGATATCAATATATACAAAACACAACAACCAATTTATCACTTCTATATTAACGGAGCAACAAAATCAACCGGAAGTAAATTTTCGAGATATTATATCAACCCAACTCGACTTGATTTTGGAAATGAGACTAAACTTACTTCTATTAATGACACGAGATTCGAAAAAATTGATGTTAAAAATTTATCGAAAAACAAGTGGATGATGGTAATATTCCACACTACTAACTCTCCAAAATACACGTTTTATTTTGAGCCACAAGTTCTGTATATCCGCCCACGAATGGCATCAACATATACCATGACTTGTTATATGACAATCCATTGCACAACGAGAATCAGAGATTTAAGAATACCATATTCAGTCTGGTTTGCACATTCCAAAAGTACATTAAGTTCCATCGCCGATCTTTTAAAGAACAAAAGCTTTGATAATTGGACTGAAGATGACAAGAAGAAGATGGCTATTTTGTGTAAAAACGTGAAAAGACGGCATTACGAAAATTTTGTGATAACCACAGACGCAATGAACACAGTCCATTTAGATATGGATGAATTGAATATGTCTGAAACTCCAATTGCAGAAGGTGCGATGGGTAAAGTGTATATCGGCAATTATCGTAGTGTTCCCGTCGCTATTAAACAGTTTAGATGGGAGAGTCTGTCTGACGAAGAGATGAAAGAACTGAAAAAGGAAGTTGAGTCTGAATGTGATATCATGAGTAAACTACGCAATCCGTTTATTGCAAATTACATGGGAGCAGTGACTTACGTACCACAAGTCTCGATGGTCATCCAATTCTTTGTACTGGGATCATTGGGTGAATATCTCAGAAAGGAGAGACAAGACTATTTAAAACTGCCTTACAAGTTAAAAGTCCGCATGTTGTTTGATACATCAAAGGGAATGCAATTTTTACATGAAAACAGAATTATGCACTTGGACTTAAAACCAGACAATTTGTTGGTCAATTCATTGGACCCACATTCAGTGTGTTCAGTCAAAATCACGGACTTTGGTACCTCAAGATTTGTCAAAAAGACAATGAAAAAGAGAGAAGACAAAGGACTTGGGACTCCCGTCTATGCTGCGCCAGAAACATTCAGAGATGAATACACGTACTCTGGAGATGTCTATTCATATGGAATTACTGCGTGGGAAATTTATTATCAAGAAGAGCCCTACAAAGAACTCAAATCAATATTTGAAATCAAAGACCATGTAGAGAAAGGGAAAAGATTAATTCTTGACAAAAACATACCAACTGACTATGCAGGACTCATCCAGTCATGTTGGAAACAGGAAGGAAGTGAAAGACCAACTTTCGATCAAGTCACAAAATTGGTTGTGAAAATAGACGATGAAGTTGCTTTACACAGTGGAATAGACGATGGTGTGTGCCAAGAAAAAATTGACGATTTTGCAACAAAAAGAACCGAAAAAATGCAAAAACAAATCAACGAATTATACAGAGATTAGTTTTCAAGTTAATGTTTTTTATTTTTCTTGTTATAATTATTTGTTGCACTTTTTTAATTTCATAAATTAATAATTTATATTTGATAATGTTATTTTTTATATTAATAACCGTTTTCCATGTAAAGACTTAAATTTTAAAAGTAGATTTTACACCTTTATTATTAAGAAATTAAATAAAGCTTGTTAAGATTCATCATATATACAGTAAAACCTCTCACTTGTATATTCAATCGAAAATAAAATATAAAATCCTTCAATAAAAATGATAAAAATATGTTTTTTAATATACCTTTTATTTTGATTGGTTAAAAACATCTATTATTGAAGAACTTGAATAGCAGAAACAAGTCTATGGAATCAAGAGATTTGGAATGTCGTTTTGAATATAAACTCACATTTTTATCAAAAATCACCATAAATCAAAATATATAAAAAACGTTTAGAAAATTTGATGTAAATTAAAAATATTTCCAATAAAATCGAAGTTGTTGAAATCGAGTATATTGACAACATTGGATATAATTTTAATACGTCCTTTGTTACATTAAATATAATAAAAGGGATCAATATGTATCTGTTGCAAAGTACAAAGAAGAAAAGTTGAATATTTATCAATATGACAATTACCAAAAGTGGAAAGTACATTATTTTGGTTGTATTTCTTAAACTGAAAAGTGTTCCCAAATTTTTAAACATAATAAAAACAATTGATTATAATGATTATAATGATTTTGAGATAATGAAAAAATGGGTAGAAAATGAAATTAAAATTTTGGACAATTTTGTTCATAAAAATGTTTATTTTTTTAATTCCTTATACCTAATGGTTGTGGTTTTATGCCTTTCGTGTTGTATTTCACCTTTATGAAAAATAAATGTTTGTGTATTTAAGGGGTTCAAAAAAGGATTTCGAAATTAGTAAATGTTGTGTTTTAACAATAAAAATATTTTTTTACTTAAAAAAGCACAACAAGACAAATTGTCTTTGGATGGATAGAATCAATAAATTTATTTGGCCAAAAAGCAAAATTAGTCAAAAGTTCGTAGAATTGACTGACAACGGCTTTAAATAATGAATTTATAAACATACAAACGATTGAAACTTTTTTGATTCTTTTTCCAAAATCTAAAATGGATTATTTGCACCTTTTTGACATTTTTATTATATTTTATAATTATTTTTTTTCAAAAGAGTTAAACTCAGTTGTGGTATATTAGTGTCAATTTTGATATACTTAATTTTTTATTAAACTCAATTAAATTTGCTGTTGATAAAGTGAATGTTTTGAATAGAATACAAAGAAAACAACTTATTCTCAATACATTTTTAGTTGATATATTATTGAAAATCATACAAATTATATTTTTCAAATGAAACTGCATGATTAAAGAAAGAAACAATTTGTTTTTATAATTAATAAATAACGTATTTGAATAGCTACAAAGTTATTGCAACATCTGGTCACTGAAAATTGTGTATTGAAAATTTTGATGTATATTTAAAAACTAAAATACATTACATAGAATCAAAACATGCCAATGACCTACACAACCAATGTTGCAGAAGTTAAAGAAACAATTAATACAACAAAAAAGTTATTGTTATATTCCAGAGTGTGCAAGTGCGCCAATAATGGACAAACTTGTTTATGAACACACAAATCTCAAGTTTTTTGAAGTTGATGCGACTACAGCAATGGATTATGCTGCCGAATACTCAAATGCATCATTTCCCACATTAGTCTCCTTCCAAAACCAGAACGTCGTGAAAAAGGCGCCTGGCAGTTCTGAATTTCTTAAGGAGATTCTTAAAATGGTGCAGAAACTAATTCACTGATTTTTCCTCTTTTTTATGTTGACATTATTATAAATATATATTATGTTTTCAAATGGAAGTATTGTTGTATTAATATCAGTTGTCAAGACTCAAAATTTGAATTGAGTCTTGACAAATGGAAGGTGTTGACGTGTCACGTTGTATAAAAGGAAACTGATGTCAAAACAGTCATCAGCAAGCATGGTGTTCCACTTGGAAATGTTTGAATACGTTGCAACAAAGCACAACACGCCTTTACATAAGAAGGCAGTCAAAACAGTCACATACATCACACTGAACAAGCAAGATGATAAGAGACAGAAACGATGGTCATATCAAAATCTCAAGAACAAGAAACCAAAAGGAAAGAATCCAACACATTTTGAAATACGTTCACAATTTGCTTTTATCTGATTGTCATTCGATTTGATTTGATTGTTTCTTATTGTTATTGTTATTTTATCATATTTAATTTTTTTAAAAATATACTTTTAATTATAATAATATATAATTAAAATAAACAAAAAATAATCAGACAAACTTCAGTGCCTCTCATCTCAGAGTGTTGTGCACGCACTCGACCCCTCAACAAGCAGTTCATCGTGCATTGCTGTGTATCTCCCTTTGACACTGAAGTGATGAAAGTCTTCATACTATTTTGTGAATTCTATTTTTTGAATAGAAAGTGACATACTCTAAGAATGATCCTAGTCGTACGGTCTAATTCCCATTTATCCATTGCCTTATCTATATAAAAGTTTCCATATCTATATATCTATGGGTTTTATTTTAAAAATATATATTAAATAATTAATTTACTATAAAATATAATATCAATCAAATAGTTAATAATTATTTAACAAAATTATCATAATAAATAATAAATATTTGTTTGATAAGTATTGATTAGATGTTAATAAATTAAACTAAATCAATTTAATAATAACAAATTATATTAGTACAACTCATTTGAACAATAAAAATATGTAACCAATATATCTGTTGTTTTAAATACGGATTTAAACACAAAATCAACCAAAAAGTTACTTAAAATGTGATCATCAAGACAAATACCAAAGCTACAACCAAAATTCCAATTAACCCACTTTTGTTCATACAAACTTCACACCCAATGTCACCTTGTTTTCAAGGCGTATTGTAAGTGTTTTTTGAAATAAAAATTCTCTTTACACTTATCGCATTTTGTGTTGTTAACATTGGAGAATCTATTTCACACTTTAACACGCTTCATTTGGTTCCTTCTTCTATCATTTTTGGTGCAACATACTCTTGACAATCAGTCAAATTTGTAAAACTTTTGGTATCTTCAATAATCAAAGCATCGTCTTTGCGAACAGTTCACTTGATTTCTTCATTGCACATGTTTTGTTATTCTCAAGACAAGTATTAAACCCCTTTACTTTGCAAAATACGCTTCTGAACAATCTTTTTTTGTGAGTTTTGTCTGAGTGGAGATTATCAGTTGTTCACATGATACATTCAATAACTGATTTGTATTTCCCACAGACAACAATTGTATTTCATGCAAAAGTTGTTCTTTCTTAACCAAATTGAATTTATCAAGAGAAACATTTTGAGTCTGTGCCACACTTCAAACAATTGCTTCCGAATTTTGCTCTTCTCACATCTTGTTGTTTGTTCTTTGTGTTAGCCAAAATGACGTCCAGTGGCTGCTACACATTTCCAATGTTTTCAAACGATATTTGTTAGTTGTCTAAAAGATTCATTTAGTCCCATCAATGTAATCATGACATTCTACTTAAGACTACTTGAATTTTCGTAAAGTGGTGTTTGAATCATAGTGGAAATGACCATCTTAACACTTGTCAGAACACCCATTTAGGACTTCGTTTGAAAATAATTTCCCTTCAATTGTTAGAATTTATTAAAGTAACAAACTATAAAATTGGAATAAACAGCCAACAAAAGCCATTTCATATTCACAATAATAATTGTTGAACATCAGTTGGTCTACTGCACATTCATTTTAGTTCACGCTTTTGGTGTTATGTAGTCGTTATTGATTTTTTCCACCTTTAGTTCAATAACTCTGGCATTAACTGATTTAATTAGTGTTTTAAATTTACTTAAATAAGTAAATGTTTTTTCCTTTGTTTAGTTCCTTATTCACTGGAATTCAAAGGTCGATAACGAAATATAAATATAATAGAGTATTTCCCAATGTTTTTCATTAAAATAGACCAATTTAGATTTTTATCTATCGACTTTTAAATACCAGTTTATTGTTATCCTGTTTGTATTATTTTAGTATGATTTTTATAATTATTATTAATTTGAAAAATACAATTATTATTTAGTAAAACGGTTTAACTGTTATATTTTTATTGGATTTCTAATCTTATAAAACATAAGGATAAAATGAATAAAATATTGTAATATTTAAGGAAACAACAATTGATATTGACGTCATAATACTTGAAATTTATTGATATTTTTAAAAATAAATATAATGTGTTTTCTTGTTTTTACAGATATCATTAATTAAACTTATCAAGTCATTTTTTTGATTGAAATTGCCTTTTGAAAGAAAATAAATTTTGTGTTAAAATAAAAAAATAATAAAATTTTAATAACAAAAGTCAGATGCTTAATTTTTTAAACTGATTTACATTATAGTTGTTCAATTTTATTAATTGCCAAAACACATCAAAAGTTGATTGTTGTTAGTGAAAATCATGTTTCACTATCAATTTGTTTGGTTTCAATATAGAGTTGATGCACTCCGTGTTCAAATAAGTATTATCTTTTAAAGTGGTGAATAATGTCAAGAAAACAACCATTGCAATTATTCTATTATCACAACAAACAACGATGTACAATGCACTCAATGAGAAGAATTCATAACATTGACACAAATTGTGTTCAAAAGTTTGCTGTGTTTTGACAAAATATTTACTCATTATCTCCAAATGTTTAATTTGTGAGGAAAAGTTTAAAATAATGAAAACTAAAACGAGTATTAATGGAAACTATGCATTTGCAATTGATCAGCAAACGATTGTTTTCAATTCACAAATCCAATTGTAAAAAGTATCTTGAATGTGATTTTACCTGTAACCATCTTGTGAAGACTGTTAACTACAAAGAAAACAGCAACATTGGGTGTGTCAGGTTTTATGATGGTATTATCTGAGTTATATTGATTGTTTTCATTAAGACAAAAAGTGCTTAAGTTGAGATGGAAATGGAGGGAGTTGTGTTACATATGATTTGGGTATAATTTTGATACAAGGAATGATGATTTTATTAATGTTAATAAACCTGCTGAAATGCAAATTGTTTAAACCTAAGTTTGCAGTGGTGCCGACTGTGTTTCATTTGAAGCAATCAATATCGATTGCTTAAAATACGAAGGGAAATTTTTTTAGTTGTGTTTAATTTTTTTCAAATTGTCTAAAATATAATGTCAAATGTAGCCAAAATAAAGACTTGGTATTTATAACAAAAGATGTTTAATTAACACTTCCTTGACATTTGCGAGATGTTTTCAGAGTACGAATGTGCTGAGTGTTACAATGTGTACCAACAAAAAATACTAATATAATAAATGCACAAAATGTGATAAATTGTGAGCTAATTGCGTAGTTATAAAATAAAACTAGTTCTTCATATATAATCAATACGTTTAATATATCAAATGTTTCGAGTGTCAAATGAAATTGAAAAACAAATTATAAGTAGTACAATTCAAAACATCAAAAGTGCAGTGAATGCAATTGAAACGACAAGGTTAAACAAAATAATGATAGGTGTGTTTTCAAAACAAATGTATTAATTATTATACTTCTAATCATCTTTTTTGTGTTTGTTAAAGTATTTGTTTACCCATTAAGTTGTATTCTCATTTCTTTATAATGTTTGCATCGGAGTCGTTATATTTCAGAACAACAAATATATAATTTTCTAGGTAAACAATAATAGTACATTACTTAACTTTTAGATTTTTTTTCTTTTATTAAACATTTTTTGGAAAAAATGTTTTGTTGATGAAAACGCCAATACCGTTTGTGTTTAAATCTAAAAATTTAAGAAAAAAAGGAAAACCTATAAATTATTGTTTGAGTGATTGGTTTGTTTACTGTTCGCATTTCAAAAGAGTCGCCACAAGTTCATTTTTTGTATATCATATCAAGTTAACAAAAATAAAATTTGTGTTTTATTTAAAATAGTAACAGTATCGTTAGGTTAATTAAAATCGTTAATAATTAACGTAAAGGAACACACATAAAAAATTAAAAGTAAACACAAGATGTCTGAAGTTGGAGTCCAAAAGTAGGTTCGTGATCATTTAATTGTTATTCCTCGAGTTTTCTTGAATCGGTCACACAAAATATGACAAGTTATTTTGAGTAATACTTAAAGGCGTGTGTGAGTGATTCTATAATCATCTCCACTTAAAATAGCCAAAAAAGGAGAAGCATGATTTTATTTTAACCATCCATCGTTCATTTTTAATTTATGTGAGAAAGTGAGTATTCGTGTCTGTGAAAGTTGATTGCAGACGTGATACAATGAAGAGCTTGCAAAATGATATTTTCGGTCATTTTATATTTTTAAATTTAATCTATTTGGCTTATTTAAATAATAACGGACGTTTTCAGTAAATTGAATACATTAGGTGTGGGCCAATGTGATTTTGACATTTTGTTGAATTTGTTAATTGAAGTTTTAACAAAACATAATTGGGTTTTGAATAAACGGAAAAATGATTACAGTTTACTATACAAGCATATAATCGTGAAAAGATTGAAATATTTGATCATGCGTTTGACTCAAACAACAGGATTTAACGATGTAATTTAATAGTTGTTACAAATTGTATTTATAAACATAACAATTATCATTAAAAGAATAATTTAATTCTATATGATTAAATATCAAAAATAATATAATATTTATCATTGAATTGCTCATACAAACAAATGGATTTATTCTTTGTTTTTTACAATTGTTTCATATATCACACGTGTTGTTATTTTTTTCTGTAAATTTCCAGAATATATATTTTTTGATAATTAAAAAGTGATCAAATTTTGGACGAATTAATGATAATAATAATTAGAAGATCAAAAATTAAAATTTATTCATATACATTTTGCATCAACCACCAACTATAATTACATTTTGTATTTTTAGACCATGCAATAATGATAATAGAAATACAAGTAAAGTTTATATGTTTATTTACAGATTCAATTAGACACACGCAAATAACAATTATGATAATGGCAAATATAATTATTCACAAATAAAATGACCAGAAGTGTTTTTTATCACTTTATTTGAGAATATTGTTTAATATTAATTGGAATATTTAAACAAAAATTAATAACTGATATTCACCAAATGCCACCAACAATCAACGTAGACAACTGTACTGGATGCGGCGCTTGTGTGTCAGCATGTCCTGCTAACGTCCTCGAGCTCCAAAACAACAAATCGTTTGTTGCAAGACCAGACGATTGCATTGAGTGTCATGCATGTGAAGAGGCATGTGCTTTTAATGCAGTTTCATTCCCTTAATTGACCACATTGAATATTTTGTGTTAATGTAATAATGTTGTGCTATGTAGTATTGTAATCAATTCAATCACCTACTTAATCATATTTTATTTATAATTATTTAGTTGTTATTAGTAATTAATATAAATTGTTATAATAAACACATTTATTTTTATTGAACAATTAATCGACTTTAAAATTAAAAGATTTAGAAACAATCTAAAATAATATGTTTCGTTATTAAAAGAAAGTGTTTGTGTTTTTACATTTTTGAATTTTCAGAAACAAATTAAGAAAGTTGTTCATGGTTTAAAAATATGTTTTAAGTGTGTAATTATTCAATTAATTCATGTTTTTCTGTTTGAAATAAGAGTCAAAATTTGTATAAAAATTAAATTAAGGAACAATTGAAATTTGATGTAATTACAAAACATAAACAATAATTATTACATTTTTAATGATACTCAATTTGATTTAATGTAAATTATATTAAGATAACGACTTTCATAATAAGTAAAAAAGATATATATATATATATATTGTTTAAAAAGATAATATTATAAAAATTATTTTTGATTGTTGAAAATACAATTAACACAATATTGAAACAGTGTCTTTAACAGTCTATATATATAAACGAAGAATTATAATGATATAATTACGATATGTAGAATATAGTTATATATATATTGTTATTTTGTTTCAAAAAAACTAAAAATATCTTATTTTAATATAGGTAAAACAAATAGTGAATTATACTTTTTTGTTGTAAAGTGAATTGTTTCCAAAAGACCAAAAATGAAAGAAGTGAAAGAAGTGACCAGAACAATTCTCAATGCATAAAAACGAATTTAAAATATTCGATACACAAAAGTGACAATGCCAGTGACTTACACAACCGACGTTTCTATAGTAAATAGACTATTGCAAATAACAAGAATGTTCTTGTGGTTTTTTACTCTCCCGAATGTGCACAGTGCAAGGCGAGTGCTCCAATGTTTGAGAAACTCTCAGAAGAACACAAGAATCTCAAGTTCTTCAAGGTTGATGCAACAACAACAAATGAGTATGCTGCTGAGTACCAAGTCACATCACTCCCTACATTCGTCTTCTTCCAAGACCAGAAAGTTGTCAAGAAGGCGCCTGGAAGCCCAGATGCACTTAAAGAGATTATTGGCATGTCACAATAATTTATCAGCTTCACTTTATTATTTATCGTCAATATTAAAATGTGATGATATTTACTTGTAAAGATACAATAACTGTTTATTAAAAACAAAAAGAAAATGAAAACAGAGTTAAAACATTAGTTTTATTTAATACTCGAATAAAATATGAATGTATAAAAAGTAGTATTTGAATTGTTACTTCAAATAACTTAAATATAATTAATAATATATGAATTAAGAACATTTTTTATTCCTGAACAAATACATAAAGTGGTTTTAGATGTTCATATTTAGAGGCTAATAATAACTAAAAATATAACAAATCGCTTGAGATTACACAAAGCATCGAAAATGTATATAAATACTTCGACAAACTTCAAGAAATTATACATCATTTCACAGACTTAATGAAATTATTTAAAAATATTTTTGATTATCTGAAAATACAGTCATGCGAAAAAGCTGTCTCGGGTGGTAATGAACTATTCTAGTACTATAAACAAATGATCTGAAATAGAAAATGTTATTTGGAAATGCCGAATATTTTTATTCGATTTTTGTGAAATGACCCTGCAAATAAATCGAATAGAAGCTATACTGTATAGTAAGTAATTATAAATTTACTATAAAATATTTTTTCAAGACAGGTTTTTCCAAACGCGACAGCTTTTTCGCATGACTGTATTAGAATAAACAAAAATTAAGAAATTAATTAGGTTTTATTCTTATAACATTTAAAGAGTCTAAATAGCGCCGAGGAGTCATTATTTATAACCCACATCTTTACCCCTGGTATTACCAGGTTTTATTTAAACCAATATTTAATAGCGGTCCTGTGCAATTCAAAATGGCACGAATCCGTTTTGAAAATAGAATGGAGAGACAATCTGGTTTTCTAAGTTCAGAGCGTTTCCTTCAAAGCCTATGGAAACACAGAGTTAACACTTGCTAGAACGGCGAAGATTTGAGGTGACAAATCTCGAATTACTCTTCCTAGTATATTACCTTAAGGGTTTAAAAGACCCTATCCAGCCACCGGTATAACTTCCAGTGGGAGATCTCGCTTATCGGAGGCATCGATAGCTATCTTTGACGACTCACACTTAGTGGTGTCTCCTATGTGTAAGGTTGATCTCATATATTAAAATAAACAAATAGTAAAACAGAGTTAAATATTTCTCATCTCAGAATGTTTTTATAACATCAATAAATTTTCATTTTTTGGTTTTCTTGAGTGAAATTTTTAAATGTTTTTAATTTTGGTAATGTTGGTGACGATAATGATTATCAGAAGAAAACGAAAAAGAAAAAAATTATAAGCCAAGTACCAAAACAAATACCAAACAACAACAATGATGTAATAAATAATTATTTTGCTCACGCAAATTTAATAATCTTTGTCGCCTTATTGTGAAGTGTTTTGTTTTTTACTTCTTTCATTTGATCGATTTAAAAATACTAATTGTATTAAAAATACCACAAAGTTTAAAATAAGTATTTTTAGTATTAAAGGTGAGAAATAAATAATAATGTATTTTTCCTTTATTTTTTTGTTTTTAATGACATATAACTGTTTACACACTTATCTTCAATGTCAATATTGAAAATGAGTCTGACATAATTAAACATTCCAGCGGTCTTTCGTGGTCCAATTGAAGTCATGTGTTCTTTCGACGCGAAACTTAATTAAAAACTCTTGTTATAAATCACAACAAATTATTGTTTGACTATTTATAAAGTTAAAATAGTTATAAAGTTATAAACGAAGTAAACACGAATTTAATTAAATTTTATCACGTTTTGAGCTCTTTACATAAAAGCTATAGAATGTCAACTTTAACTCTGATAGAGTGGGTACACTTTACTACTTTACAACCGACTTAAAGCCCATCAACTGTTCTGTTAATTTCAAGTGATGGGTATTTAAAGACTTTGATGTCGTTGTTTACATTATAGTAAAAGTGCTTTTCTCCAAAAACCCAAGCACATGTCCCATGTGACAAGTAAGAACCGATGTACACTTCCAATTTAGTGTTTCTCACCAGATTGAGTAAAAGAGACTCGTTTTTGTCGTACGACTTCATCACGACTTTGTAATTGACATTCCTTGGTTCTTGGATCCTCAGAATCTTATTCGTGTTGGCACTCGAGCCTATGCCTTCGGAAGTCTTACCAACTAAATCAAATACACCAACTACTCCTTTTATTACACCAGCAAAGAATCCACCAATGCCATCTTTCTAGGAACCAACACCAGGCTGAAACACCAACCCAGCAAGACCTTTGAACCTTTCACTTGAAAACGACTCAAACACCCTTTTCATTCCTTCTCCTGTCGTTTTCTCACAGCGGTTTGCATTTCTCCTGTAAATGTAGGCATGATTAAAACTTATTGAAGCAACAAAGGACGAAAAAGATTTCGACATTCCAGAAACGGAAAACATGGCACAGTGTGTAGTGTTCTGAGCTAGATATGACACCCTTGCCATCACATGCCCAAATAAACTTACAGAAATAGTGAGATACTGTGTTGGCTCATAGTTGAAGTCGTGGCATCCAGTTGAGATGTCCTTAATTAGTTCTCGATAATTTCTTCAAAACGAAGAATTTGCAAAGAGGGTGATGGCTTGATTCGTGATTTGTTTGTAGTGATGTTCGATGATAACCTCTTTTGAAGCTATGTCACCGTTGATATTCTTTGCGTTCAACTTAATTGAAACAATTTTTGTGTTTTTAATGAAGAACTGCCTGTGTGTATAAATGCTGTTGCTGCATCATATGAGATGAAGACCAATTGATTTGGTTGAAAATCGAGTGAAACAGAAAGAACAGTCGGTTGTAAAACGAATGATTTGATGAATGTGGAGAATTTTGAGTTCAGTGAAGGAATTATTTATAGTGTTGTTGGTGTCATCGTGCATAAAAATTGAATGGAAGTGACTTAAAAAGTCATATAAACATGCAATTGAACTAATATCGTTAGTTACTGTTATTAATTGGACTAACACATATATGAACGGGAAGAAAAACGTGTTCGATGTTACATTTTAAATAAATTGTGCGGAGATGTAGAAAGTGGGTTAAGTAGTCTTTGATATATAAACTTGTACCTCATAATTTGCATCGATTGTGTCACAGTCAACTTGTGTACTTCCAAAATCACAAGCTGTTTCTGGATACTCCGATTTTATTCGAGCATTTACATTGACACTCAATAAGTAAGTGTAACACAATTAATCAATTTGATGGTTAATCAAATCCACGCCAACACTTGGAAATCTAAATGATAATGTTACAATATAAACATGATATAGAAAAGTTATTGAACTTTTCCCATTTTGTTCGCAGTTATTTGAAATAAACAAAGGATTTTTGCATCACTTTGATTTGATTTGTTGTAAAGATTAACGTTTTGATGGTAAATTAAATCATGCATATTTTCATATACATGATTTGCCGACTTATTACGAGCCGGCCCATTATTGGATGCAATTATTCTACATGGTTAATACGTTTAATGTTTGACAAAAAAAACAACCCGTGTTTTTATTTTAACAATAATTTACTGACCAAAGGAGGAAGGGTGGCCGGATATTTGATTCCGGACAATTGATTCCTTTGTGTTTTATTTGGTTTTTAACAATGCTACAAATCGGGTTTTTATTTTTATATTAGTGTTTTTGATGGACATTTGATTCCAGAATAATAATATCAAAATGAAATAACGAATTGTTATTAAGTTAATTTTCATATAAATAATCGGGTTTGATTAACAATTTTGTTTTCTATGGACAATTAATTCCACGTGGATAATAATCATGTTATTAATTTAAAAAAATACAACTGATTTGATATATTTATTGATGTTACCTTGCTATAGATTTCAACAACCATTCATGCCAATATATCCATGCAATTATTCCATCTGTCAACAATATCAACAACAATTACCATTTATGCAACTTTATCCATATCAACCACATTTTTACAATTTACCAAACCAACACATTGGATCAACGGAGCAACATCTTCAGTTAACTAATATTCCACTTACATCATTTACACAAAATGTCACAAATGATATAAATACAAATAATAATCTAAAGTTGTTTACAAACATTAAATCGTTGAATTCAAAAATTTCAGGTAGAAAATTACCAATAATTGATGACTTTGTGTTTCATAGAACTGGACGTTCTTTTTTAAATTACAAGTGTAAAGATATTCATTGTGATGTATCAATTAAAATAGTTGAATTTGATGGTCCAATTAATAATATCACAAATTTCAAATCTTACATTTTCACTTCATACAATCAAATACATTCACACCCATCTCACGATGCAGAAGCAAAAAAAAAGAAGCAAAAGAAAGATTAATTGAAACTGCTTCACTAATTGAAAAGCGGTATGTTTCAAGTTCAAAAGCACTTGAAGATAAAGATTTTTCTATGTACAGTAAAAGAGAAAGTACAATTATAAGGGAATTTAGAAGATTAAGACAAAAAATGTTTACCAATTGTGACTTTAAATCACACCCATTATACAATGATTATTTAATTAAGGAAGATCCAGTTTTTGCCGTATTTGTAAATAAAAATAAAGTTAACAAAATTAATGATTTTGAATTGTTGTTCATGGATGGTACATTTAGCACTGCACCCAAAAATTTTTATCAAATGTACACTATACACTGTATGTTGAAAAATGAAGAACATTTTACTTTGGTTCATGCTTTACTCGTTGGAAAAACAGAATTATTATACAAAAAATGTTTAATTGTATTAATGATTACTGGAAAAATAACAATGGGTATGTTTTATTCAAAAATGGTGTTGTTGTGATGATTGATTTTGAAAAGGCAGTTCAAAATGCACTTGAATACTTTGGCTGTATTACAAAGGGGTGCTATTTTCACTTGTGTCAATCTCTTTGGAGAAAAGTCAACACTTTGGGACTTTCGAGCCGTTTTAAAGAAGATCAACAATTTTATAATATTGTTAAATCTCTTATGTGTTTGGCTTTTTTGCCAGTTGAAGATGTTAGTGGCGTTTTCGAGAACATGAAAAAAGATTGCACAGAGTTGGAGTTACTCAAAGTTTACAACTATTACGAACAAACTTGGCTTGGGAATTTTTTTCCAAAAGAAATGTGGAATCAATATTGTTGTAAAACAAGAACAAACAATATATGTGAAAGTTTTCACTCTGTATTTGCAAAACGATTAGAACACAAACATCCAAGTGAAGTTGAATGGCTTGATAAAATTATTAAAATAGAAACAAAAGAAAATGAACAATTTAAAAACATGCTTGATGGAGTGTTTAAAAGAAAGAGATCACAAAATGTATCAAGAAATACACTTATAGAAAATTTAACATATAACTTTGCCAACAAATTAATTACAACTCAACAATTAATATCGAAACTTTGCAACATTAATTACTTGTTGAGATCTTCTTATTTTGAAATGGTTCCCCAAAACGAAAACAAGATTAATGAATTAATAAAAACACCAATTACACAACCAACAGAATTGGACGTTGAAAAAGACAATCGTGTTTGTATTGATAATGAAAAAATAAAACATGTGATCGAAGATGTTACAAATATAGGCATTAAAAATTGTGAAGTCATGGATTGTTGCAATGAATCAATGATACCATTGGTTTTAAAAACAAAAGAAAGAATTGATAAATTAAAAATAAAACTCAAACCGCCATAAAAGAAAAGGAAAATAAAAAACCAAGAAAACGATCAAAACAATACAAGCAAGCAGTTGTTGTTCGTGAAATTATGAGAAAAAACAGAAAAAGCTTAATCAAATCAAAAAAGTAATCATTTTATTTTTATAAATCAGTTGTATTTTTTTAAATTAATAACATGATTATTATCCACGTGGAATTAATTGTCCATAGAAAACAAAATTGTTAATCAAACCCGATTATTTATATGAAAATTAACTTAATAACAATTCGTTATTTCATTTTGATATTATTATTCTGGAATCAAATGTCCATCAAAAACACTAATATAAAAATAAAAACCCGATTTGTAGCATTGTTAATAACCAAATAATCACAAGGAATCAATTGTCCAAATAAAACACAAAGGAATCAATTGTCCGGAATCAAATATCCGGCCACCAGGAGGAAGGCGCGTCACTTTTTTATAATGATGATGAATATAAAAGGTTTTGGTATAATTTTTGTTTCTTTTTGAGGCGCCTTCGAAATTGCGTGTTGTATTATATAATAAAACAATATAATATTATTATATTTTGTCATTGTTTCAATAATATGATGCATAATACACACGTCGTTTAATTCTTACCATATTGCAAGAATTATTACCTGTCATATTTGTTGATCGTATTCAATTTGAGTTGTTAATTTTGTCATTTGTAAACACTATTAAATTTAATTCAATGTCATATTTATATATATATTTGCATATATAAATTCTTTCAAGCTATTTTTATGTGGGCTTGATAAATACTGATTACTCCATTTGGTCATACACATTTTTACGATTAAAGGCATGTGATTGCCTTGGATTGTCATATTCTAATTGATGTTTTAGATTGTCAAATTCTTGCTTTAAATATTGTTTAATTTTTCTGTTTTTAATTATCGTATTTTTTATCAAAAATGACCCGAAAACTATTTTTATAGTGTTGTATAACCAGCACCATGGATCTTTATATGCTATGTTTTGACTTCTTATAGGGTTTAATATCGTATTCAACGCAAACAACTTGTTTTATTAATGTTTTTTTCATGAAAATAGAATGCACTAATACTGAATTAGAATTGTGTAGACTTTTTTCAATTAAAAATAATCGATACAACACTTTGTTGTCTCTTTTTTCATCAGTATTCAGTCGTTTTATTGATATTCATTTAAATTAAAAATACATGTGTATATTTTTAAGTCAACAAAAGGTATTTGTTTTTTTTTAAATTAAAAATAATAAATGTTATTAATCTTATGGTAGTTTTAATAGGGTGGTTTATTTTATTGATTTTCAAAGTGTTTTTAAAGCAATTTTTTTGATTTTTTTTACTTTTTATTTATAATTGTATATTAGATAAATTTTAATTATAATAATATTTTATTTTTTTACTTTAATTCAAAAGTAACTGATATTTGAAAAGTCAAGAAATAAATATAAAATTATCTATTAAAAAACACGACAAACTAATAGTGTACGATTTATTTTAATATTCTCCTTAATTGAAACAATTAATTTATACCTAAACACAAACCTATTATAACAATTACAAGGTTAATATTTTTGTTGTACAAAAATAAACATTAGACAAACAATAAAACAATTTCTTTTTATACAGTCATGTATTTATTAATTATTAAAAATAAGTAACACAACAAAGTAATTCTCAGGAATGTATTTTTATTTTAAATTCAACAAATTATATATAGATTGAATTGTTTTTTATTTTTAGATAAAATTGACAAATGTATATTTT